CCAAAAGATAGCACATCATGTGTATATAATTTGTTGTGCTATACCTTTAAAAGTAATCAATGTTACCTTTATCATTTTACGTCAATGTTATGAAAGTTAAATATTATATCGTTGAAACTTAAAAAAACGTGTAAACCAATTTTACATTGACTTTGTTAAGTTTTTTGTGTATAATAATACAAGCATATAAATGGGACAAAATAAAAGCACTTAAAAAGTATATATACAAATATATTGCATATTTTATGTATGCATGATTTTGAATATAATATAAATTAATTTACTTCATTAATGCGTAGGACCTTCTCTATTTTCCATGATTTCAATCGTTTAGGTAATAGTAAATTATACAAGCCTTGAATTTTGTTTAAATAAATTGCTCCATTTTTTTAAATACATCTTATTCTTGCGTACTAACAGCATTATCTTGTTGGAAGAAAATTCTGTGTCAGCAATGCATTCGGCTTAATAATTTGACCCTGTAATAGTTTCAGGTAGCTGTCGTTGTTTATTCTATCTTGAAAGAAATAAATGTCTGTTTTCTTATTACAGTCAATTTCCGTGTTACTTAAATCATACTTTTCTTTGTGTTTTGTTGTTATTCAAGGTCTTCTCTTTATTTGTTTGTTCTTTCTGTTTGTTATTCTGTAGCATAGACATACATTTCAATAATAGAATTATTTTTGTAGTTTCAATTTTCTACTAGAGTCGATAGATATACTTTTTATAAAGTACAAAGACAAATGTGTACTTTCAAAAATAAATTAAAATTAAAGACGCCGTTTATTTCTTCTTTTTATTGATAGAAATTATTAAGAATTACAAATTAAATTTGATGATATTCTATTTTTTATGTCATAAAAGTTTTTTTTATCTGAGAAATTATTTTGTTTATTTTGTGTAGTTTTTCCTTTACTACCTAATTTTTGTGTTAGATTTTTTGTTCACTCTTTTTCTGTATTCTTTTAAATGCTAAAATTACACTATAAATTGGCGAGGATAAAATTGCTTTTAAGAAATCCAGGAAAAGTAAAATTATCACGATACGCGTATCACGGCGTTAGTAGAGTACAATTTGTTACGGTTCGTAGAATTTAATACGTGATGCGAATTTAATTTACAGATATTTGCTATCAAGATCAAAACGTACGTGTAACAATTTAAGAAATGAGTGTTGTAAAAGAAAATTGCTATCAATGCTTAATATACTTTAATTTTGTAACAAGACGATTCCAATAAATCTTTTGTGTAGTATTATATAATTAAAGCTTAATTGTTTAATATACATTTTACGTTCCAGTCGTGTAATAAAATTGCGCACTTTTTCGGGTCCAGTATCGATTTCTTATCATTAACGCACGGAATGAACCGCGGCAAAAAAACTCGATCTACGGATGATGTATCTCGTACACAATGCATATGAGTTATTTATACGGAACGCGGCCGCGATTACATATAAACTCGGTGGCTTGCTTTAAGTTGCGTCTTGCCAGACTTTCACTATTCGTGTACTTTCACTATTGAAAATTAGCACCGTCTATTTCGCCCATTCTCAGGAGAGGTGCGCGCGATTAGGCTGTCCCTGTTTTGAGCAAGAATTTGGTTATACTGCGATCCGGCAGATTGTCCGCTCGTCTGACGAGTTAACACAGCCGGTATTTTTTACCGTTAACCAGCTGAGGTAACTACTTACGAATATTCGCAGAAGCGAATTCTGTTCACTATTTAACCGATTATTATAGAGAACGCTATTATCACATTTTAGCTTCATCAATTACATGTTTTCTGCATTACATAATTTTTTATTACTACTATATTAATTCATCTGTTATTGATTGTTATTAAATTAGGTTTACATAATAATTGCTATTGGACTGAATTTACATGTATTTTATTAATCAAATTTGCGTTAAAAATTCTCTTGCATGATCAACTTTGGACGTTTTTAATAATAATAGGCCATGTTATAAATTTAAAATATAGTTATTAAAAATTAATTACTGTCTGCGTAATGAAGTCTATGCAATATTAATATATGCAACTAATATATAACAAATTGAAGAAAATTATTTTTATACACACATCGTATAGAATTCTACTAATATTAATTAAAATTAACTGTAAATAAGATTTATGTATGTCCAAAATCGCAATGTAAGATATTAAAAAAATATAATAATACGTTTTAAAGATGTCATTAAGACGTCATATGAGCTAATTTTGCATATTAAATTAGTTAATGTTTAATTGTACCCAAATACATCTTATATTTTGAAATATAAAAATTATTATAAAGAGAAAAAATTATTAATTTTTAATGTAATACGGAGCAACAAAAATTGATAACAGAAAAATAATGATATTAGACAATTTATTTTTCTAGAAGAGAAATATAAAATTTTTTCTATTATATTATCAGTAGTGTGTCTGTCAGTTAAATAAAATGTAATCGCAATATTGTTACACAATATTCGTTACCTACTAGTGATAGCAGGTACATGCACTAATTGCTACTAGAGAGAAGCTTGAAAGTAAACATGTCCGTTTTAAATAGTCCCCATACATTAGTGCTTCTAGGCTGTGTTCCAAAATCCACTGCCAGCGTTAAAAATCTACAATTTACATAACGTAGATTTTCAGCACTTATGAATTTTGGAATATAGATTATGCACACAATGCAGTGCATTAATTCGCTGCGTCACATAGTAGCAATCTGACTTATCGATCCCATTTCTAATAAAGTAGCACATAGCGCCTACAAAGCACTAAAAAAGCCTTACATGCGCTTTTATTTAATTGATATTCTAATTATATCATACAGATATTATAATAAGAGGCTTTTTTTCTACCTGTCCTGAATTTGTTTAACAGTATCGACAAATTGACGTGTGCTCGATATAACATTGTTAAAACATTGTTAAAACAAAATGTTTTACATTTTTAATATCTATCTTAGACTTCAATTATTGTAATTTTTAATTATTATCTTTATAATGCATTATTACATAATTATATTTTATAGTCATAACGTGGCATAGAAGCAAACAATGTAGAACAGAATCAAGTTGGAAACCATGCACCTGTCGAAAATATCCGTTGGTTATATAGTTCTCTATGCATGCTTTTGCGCGAGCTGCAGTCGATTCATTTTGACCTACAGATGATCGAAAAGAAAATTCCAAAAAGTATCAACAGTAGAGAGTTTGAGATCCAAGAAGAATATTTTAAATGCTAAAAGTATGACGTGTATTTTCAGATATTATTTTAAATATTAAATTCGAGCGCGATTCACTTGTACTATAATATTCTAATATTGCAACATTATAATACAATATTTACGATAAATGAGATTATGTAGAATATATCGAAAAATGATTCAATCTAAAACATGAGGATGTATTTTTATATATTAATAATATAATAAAATTTAATTTATCATTAAAGTTTTATTTTAATAGACAAAAGTTTTAGATATTAAAAATTGGACAGTATTACATACTTTTTTGAAACTCGAATAATTTTATATGCCAACAAAATCATTTAAACAGTAATTATAAATTTTTACATTTTAAATTGATGAGAAAAAACGATAAAAATTAATGTATATTTCTGTAAATAAACGTTTATGATTTGATCGATAAACTAGAAGCCTACCGGTCAAAGTTGAATCTTTAAGAGGATGCTGGAGTCTTCTTTTTTACCGATGAAGCAAGCGTTTATGTTCCTTGCGCGGTTCTTCGAATTAGTTGCACAGAATAAAAATTCCTTCTCCACGATTGAAATATCCGTGCTAATGTACCTGTTTCTGGTGTATTTTGTGTCCAAAACCGGGAAAAATAATAAATTACAGATTTCTGTATCCATGTGCTATCAGCTCACCAAACATTTACTTCGTGAAAAAATTATATGTACGTTATATGCTCGAAATTAGCGCAGGAGCATATGTAGAATAAATAAACGAATACAGTCGTATCTTTAGAATTAAGTTTTGACGCCTAAATAAAAAGATTAGTGCAAAGAACGAAATTATGTGTCTAGCGCGTGAGAAATCGATGATGTATGACAGTTTAGACTGTTTAGCCATGAAACCGAGCAGTATTTTAGTTGATCTCTTTCTAAGAGATGGCGTTGCAATATGTTAGATAAGGACAGATGAATGCGTTTGAGCGGGACACAACGATATATATAATAAGTATAAGAAATGAATGAAGGATGTTACTATTGTGTCAAATTTGGAATTTCAAAAAGTCTGTACTATCGACCTTGATTAACTTCGACCGTCACTCCAGCATCCCCTTAAACTACTGAAGCACCAGCTACTCCCGGCTGAGGTACCAGCCTCGGTAGTCTAAAGGCTTAGGATGCTCGTACGAAATACAAGAGATTCGGGTTCGATTCCTGGCAGAGGTAATATTTTTCGCAATAAATTTATTTACAGTTTTTAGTACATTAACATCTTTTTAATAGGATGTCAAATTGTGCATCAAATTATTTAATTGCTTATTAATTTAATTTGTGATATTACTATAGTAGTTTGATTGCGTTTATAAGTTCAAAAAATTATTTTGGCGCGCAGTTCAAATAACTATTATTAAAACGTATTAAAGATCCAGCTTCAGTCGGTATAATCTTCTAGTTTATTGATTGTGTTCTTATATATGTACGATCTAAAATAAGATTCTTATTATTTGTAATTTGTTAAACAAAACTTCACTTGATTATATTTTATTATTTATTATTTAAAAAACGTGATGAGAAAAAATTTTAGGTTTTACATTAAACGTTGCTTCTTATATAAATAAAAGAATAATGTTAACATAATTAATTCTAAAATCAATATATGTACATATACATATGTGTATGTATTTTATCACATGTGTTTATGTATTTATAAAAGTATTAATTAGAATATTTAACGGAATATGTAAAGTAAAAACAGAGTGCTCTCTGAGAGAATAAGATTTTAGACGAAAATAAAATATTTTTTAATTCTAAAAATTTAATCCTGCAAAATAATAATAAATAAATACTTGTTTCAGACAATAAATATGCATGTAAATCCTTTTAATTAACTAATTCTCTGTTTCTGCCTTATTGAAATTTTGTGTCATATTATCGTTGATTAGAGGTTAGACAATTCACAGCAATATTTTAATTATAATAATGCTTTGGAAACGTTAAAATAATAATAATAATTTCTTACTATCCGTACAGCACAGAATTTGCAGCAATATTGCTGCAAAATCTCTGCAAGATGTAATGTTGCAACAGTATTGCTGCAACTTTTGTGCAACTTTGTTTTGTGTTGTAAATATTCTGCTCCTATAAAATAAATATTGTATTTTCTTCTTTATTCTCTTGATATGAAACACGGCAAGAGTTCGTTACTATTCTATTTTTGAAAGAGGGAAATATGAGCAAAACGCGGAATTATAATTCTTAAGAAGTCTGTATAAATATCTATAAAAATCATCACTTTAAAGGCCTTCTCTTTCCGGAAAGGGCAATCTATCAGAGAATAAGTTTTGTTTCGGTAGCTTAACTGGGAAGAGTAACATTTTTTATCATTTTGGCAATTTTAACGTTTTATCCAGTCTCTGTTTTCGCTTCTCGTCAAACTAGCCAACGCACACAAATTAGTAAACATACATTCGCATACATATACTCGTTCACACATATAATATACATAAAAAGTCCGAGAAAATCTTTACACGTAAAAAAACTTTGCTGCAAAGCACCCAGAAAGAATACCACTAAGCCACACTTTCACAAATTCCGGTAGGCGTTCAACGCGCTTCTCCTCTCATTTTTCATTTCTTTTTTTAATATCCTTTATTTATTTGCTAATAACAATAATTCGCAATCGAATGTACGCTCGACGTATAATTATTGAAGTCTCTTTATATTAGAACAGAGCTCGGTAAGGTCTGCACTTTTCGGCCGATTTTCGACTTGATTCCGCCTTCCGCTATTTCCTTCATCTCTCGCCCAGCCAGGGCGCAGTCCAAATGTCGCTCAACGTTTAGAAATGTATGACGCTCGTAGACATGAGGTCTACCCGCTTTGGACGCTCACGCTGTAAACTTCATTCTACATCTTTTTTTTTTTTCGTTCATTACATAACTAAGGCTATGCTCCAAAACTCCCTCTCCGAGGAAAATTTTACTCGAAATATATAGTACAGATAATGTATACTATAGCATATGAAGTAAAATCTTCCTCGGAGAGAAAGTTTTGGAACGTAGCCTAAGATAGAATGAACGAAAAAAAAAAAAAAATAGAATAAAGTTTACAGTGTGAGCACCCAAAGCGGATGGACCTCATGTTTACGAGTCATACGTTTCTAAACGTCGAGTGGCATTTGGACTGAGCGCGGAGCGAGAGGTGAGGGGAATAACGGAAGGCGGAGCCAAATTGAAAATCGGCAAATGCAAATCTTGCCGAGTCTTATATTAAAAGCTTATCTCTTTATTTATTAAAGCCTCGATTGTCGATGAACACGCGATTTCTGAGGCCGCTGTCCGAGATATAACCAGTGGCCATTTTATACTGGTTTGCATATATTACACTCTTTTCATTGCTGTTCTCCTTGATGTTCTCTTGATCTTTAGATACGTTCTGCTCATTTTCATCCTTTTGCTTGCCTACAGCATTTTTCGAATTCTTCTTCTTGTACGCTTCATTATAGAAGTCGCGGAAGAGAAAATAGAACATTACAGCGTGCATGCCTATCCACCAGACGAAGGCCTTCGGGTAATTGCAATCGATGAAAAGTAATTGGAATGCATGGGCCATTACAAGGATGAACTGGATCATTTGCAAAGTGGTCAAATATTTCTTCCACCACAGATATGGCTGTATCTGTGGTCCGAGCGCCGCCAGGAGGTAATACGAATACATTACGATGTGTACAAAGGTATTCAGAAATCCGAAGAAAGTGCTGTGACCACCTGCAAGAAATAAAGACCACGTTACGATCGGAGAGACAATACTGTTCCTTGTTAATTTTATCACGAATTGAATATATATAATATCTTCTAAAATCTATTCCCAACCAATATAATTAATAAAAAATATACATATTTAATAAAAAAAATACATTTAATAAACGTTAAAAATTGTATAGTAAACATATAAACTAAAAAATAAATGTTTAAAATTTAATATAATATTAAAATCATTTTAAAAGCGTAATAAAAATAAAAAAACTTTTATAAAACGTTTATAATGTTTAAAATATTATTATATAAGACGTTTTAATTTAATAAAAGTAAATATTAAATGTCAATAACGTTTATTTAACGTTTTTACTTTAAAAACCGCTTCGATTGAATATTTTTTGAATATAACTTATCTTTTCTGCTTGGATAATCTATTTAAAATATTGTTTTCATTTTCTCTGATGATAGTAAAAAATTTGATAAAAAACCGTTTTTCTTTCAGCCTTGAAAGTTGTTTACTCAAGTGTATTTTCTTGAGCATTCGACGATTTCACTACTATATTATTGTTTTAGAATTTAATGCATTCATTCATAAGATTTTTATGTAAAAATAGTTACAAAAGTCAAAATATAGTATAACGACTAATAAGTGTCAATAAATTCAACCGTTCACAATTATTTGAACGCTATTTTATATTGTATTTCAATTTCCAATGTTAAATAAGTTCCATACTGCTATTAACACAAATACTTTATTAGAATAATTGACACCATTTTTGTATATGGACTCTAATTGTACACATTCTAAATTGAAATTAGTGAGACAACGTTCACCGACCTATCTGTAATTAATTTCTAATTTAAAACGAGACATCAAAGAAGTCTATTTTCATTCTCCTCTACAAGATCTTCAAGATGCATGATGAGAAATGAAATTATTATATCTCTGGCATGCATTGCGCGCAGACGCCGCGCCACAGACTAAGGTTTATTCTTAAGCTAATTTAAAAAAGGTATTATTATCAACTCATTAGCTACTGCAACAATACACTTCTGCTTCAATATAAAATAATAAAGACAAAAAAAATTAAATGACAAGTCGAAATAACAAAGGTTAAACATGTTAAAACATGTTAATAATAAATATAAAAAAAACTGATTTCTATATCCTTTCTATGTATTTACATGAATTCTATGTTTTTTTATGAATTTTATGTTATTTGGTTAAAAATATCATTTTTTTTTACCGTAAAAAGTTCGTTTTTTACTTGATATTTTTCTTCCAAAGTTAAAAATATCTGTTTTATTACATTTCTAGGAATTAGCAACTTAAACAGATAATTTACGCTTAAAAAATGTTTAATTATTTAAATCGTTTTTATGCGAGACAATTTAATAGATTATTAAAAACGTATATTTAACTTTAATAGGTACATTTATAGGTACATTAATTTTAATACGTATATTTAACGAGTATTTAATGTTTTTATCACAAAAAAACGTTTTGGTTAAACGTATTTTAAATGTAAATTATCTGCTTGAATTGCTAAATCTTTGGAAAAAACCTAAAGCTATGTGTATATTAAATGTCACTATCAAAAAAAAAAATATTTTAAATAGATTACCTGATAAAAAATTCATCATGCATGAATATGTATTAATATGCATAATCATACATAAACATGTATAAATGTTTATAAACATACATAATTTTATATGAAATATGTCCACATATATTCATACATCCTTTTCTTTTGGTAAAATTACTTTTTAGTATAATAAAAATAATACTAGTAATGTGAAAACATTAAAAATAATTAAAAGGGTACTATTCGTTTTAAAAAATATCAAATTTGAGAAAATGTAAAAAAATTATTTATGTATAATTATATATAAAATTATGCATAATTGTGTATGAGCTTTTTTTTACATTTTTCCAAACTTGTTTTTTTCTAAAACGCACAATGCGAAAATTATTTCTTTAATTATTTTTGATGTTTTCACATGACTACTATTATTTCTGTTACATTAAAAAGTAATTTTATAAAAGAAAAAGGGATGAACATGTATGGACATACCACCATATATAATTATACATATTTATGTATATTTATACGTGTTTGTGTATGTTTATACATATTTATAAATATTCATGCATGGAAAATTTCTTACCAATTCTTATTCAAGTAGACAATTTATATTTAAAAAACATATGTTTGATCGAAACGATTTTTATAATAAAAAGTAAAAATGTTAAGTAGATGTTATTAATGTTAAACATACTTTTATTAAACTGAAATGTCTTGTATAAAAAATAACGATATTTTAAATATTACAAACATCCTATAAATGTTTTTATAACGCTTATTAAATAGTTACAAAATCGTATTAAATTTTAAATGGTTATTTTTCTTTTTATACGTTTATTATATAATTTCTAGTATTTATTAAATGTCTTTTTAATGTAACTGTATTGCTTGGGTAATTAGTACAGTGACGAAAGAATGAAAAATTTTTTATAATTATAATAAATGCCAAATTAATATTGCTAAGTTTTAATTTACATTTTACATATTTGCAGAATAAAATATCATTTTTTTATATTGACAATAATAAAATTTCACACATAAACTCGAAAATTTGAAGAAGATTAATATTAATCGATTATGTTTTGTAAATAGAAAATAGAAATATATACTGCATATATTTACCAGGGGTAAATTTAACTCCGAACCAAACTGACATGGGCATGCAGCCGTGATGGATGACATGGAGAGTGGTAATGTGATCGTTCTTTTTTCTCAATACAAAGAAAATTGTGTCCGTGAACTCAATGAACTTTGAGATGTAATACCACCAACAACCTCGTGCCATTCGCAATGCAATCGGGTCGTTTGAATAATCGACCGGCTGACACCTGAAGGAATATCGTCCTCCCCAGCCTCCGATCAGACTCTGCGCATATATGAAAGAAAATATAATAAAATATCTTGATGGGTTGTTTTTGCCTGAATAAACTTGCTGAGCAACTTACTTCGTTGAACAACCATGTGGAGAATATTACTTGAAAGAGATTGTACCATATCATCACTCTTCTGAGATCAAAAGGTTTTCGATTTTCCATCATTTTTGGCCCCAAAACTTTAACGAAATAGGCGTAGAACAAGCAGATCCCTAATGTGGGGAACGGGTCGCTCATCATCGGCCAATCGTTGACTCTCGGATCGCTTTTGTTGTCCATCAGATCTTGGTAACCATCGTAAATCATTTGAACTAATTGCGTCATCTAAAATCAAAGTAACATTTTTGTCGCTGTTATGTTAGTTCAATCTTATTACAGCAAAGTCATTTGTAATTATGGTATAATGCACTTTATATCATTCTGTCTAGTTACAAAATTAATGATGTTTTATGTTAAAGAAAAACAGTGTTGTTATAGTTCAATTGACATTATTATATAAGAAACTACGGTCGATTATTATAGATATCGTTCGAGATAAACGACTGTATTTATTACTTGAGCAATGCGATTTAAGTGTATGGTTTAAATAACACGCGCAACGCACGTTGCAAAACTAGGAAATATATAAACATTAGAGTATACATTTCTTTATATTACATAATTGATGGTCGTCGATGAGTCGTTTTGTCAAATGTATTTACTATAGATAATTAAAGAAGATCTAAAATGTTTCGAATATCAAATTTTAGAAGAACTGATTGTAGTCGAATAATTAAAATAAGAATTAAAATATAAGAAATGTGCTATATATATCTAAGTTTAAATTACAAATTTGTAAATTGTATTAAACCAAAAAAAGAAAGAAAGAGAGGGAGTATCGGCATGCTCGCACAATTTTAACGAAATTCTGTATTTAAATTTTTTATTGATCACACTTAATGATATTATACAAAGCAAACTATACAAAAATTCAGTCAATAAAGAGCTCATAAAAAGATATAGAAATAAATTTATAATCAATACATTTATTAAAATCTAACAGTACGTTTCGTGATCACAGGTCCTTCTTCAGCAAGTATTAAAAATACAAAATGTATGAAGACGCAAAGTTTATCTTAACATGATTTTATAAATATAATTAAATCAAATGTAATGAAGAAATTCTTGAAGGTTTTGTTTCATGATTTGAAGAACAGTAATACAAATTGTGAAAAATTAATTTGGGTTAATGTCAAAATTAATTGATATTAAAAATGTCAATTTGATATGAATAATCTTTGAAAAATAGATACTTGGTGAAAGAGAAATTTTTTAAATCAGTTACATTTGAAGCATTTGATCGAAATCCTGATAAAATTAGTTGTCCTTTTCTATCCATATTATAGAAAAAATAGTAAATTGAAACTTACAATAAAAACTAATTATACACTATTATGATTTTTCTTTGGTAAGTGTTATTCCTTCGAGATATGTCGCGAAACACGCAATGAAAACGAAATGGATCGTGCACTTTGACGTACTCTCGATTTGAATCGTGATTTGATCTCAATCTGCGGTACGCTCGACGAAGTTTCGAGGATGTATGGATCGCCCACATCCCTCCTCGGAAGGTTAAATCATTGATCCTTTCACTGATATCAAAATAGATCGGAAAAGCACCAGAGGTTTTTCCATGCGGAAACCCCTCTTTGTGGCTTTGCGCTGCTCTCCCCTCTTATTCTCGCAATCTTAACTCTTGCCAGTAGTGAATAAGGATCTTATTTTTCAGCCTTGAGAAAATGCTGACGTCAAAGGCGGCGTTGTACTTCGCTTGAATTTTATAATTCGTTGTGGTAGTTGGGAGGCAAATTTTGTAAAAAAACGTGACTCTTTTATTCAAGCGATCCAGAAGCGTGCATAAATTATGCATGGGAGGAATGTAGAAGATTCTATCATTTTTGCAAAAAATTTTCTGCCATAAAAATAGATGGAAAGAAATCCATTATTTGCGTGGAAAAGAAGACAAGAAATGCAAAAATAATTCATGGAAGTTGAGGATGCTTCATTATATTCATTTTTGGTTATATAAGAGTTGTTATCGTTTCGACGATCATTATTTTATAACATAGTATTTCAAAATGATTATTGCGAATATCATCTAATTATGCCCATGCTCTGTGAATATTGTATATAAATGATTCCGTTTCAATGTTGTACAATGTTCACCGATGCGGATTCACCGATGTGGACGACACTTTGATGCATTAAATATGTCAATATTTGACTTTCGTTTCTATGACATAAAAGCCGACATTAAACATATAATGATCCTGCAATAACAATGTTATGAAAAGTACTGATTTGCACTATAGTAATATTTTTCAAGGTATGTTAAATAAGTATTCTACTAATTATAAATTCTTTGAACAAACTTGAATAGATTTCTTTTGGATGAAAATATCAAGATGTCAATAATCTTAGCGGTGATGAAGACTTTTTTTTTAAGTTTGAAGATGATTCAGTTGAACAAATGACATTTAATTATCAGGTTTTTTAATCATAGTAATGTCGTTAAAAAAGACGAAAAATTATAATACAGTAATATCTTCGTTGATATTCCCAAAAAGAAATTAGTTTCGGAAATAAGAAACAGAGAGAGAGAGGGGGGAGGGGGAGAGGGGGAGATGGAGAGAGGGGGAGAGAGAGAGAGAGAGAGAGATCTTGGTCATTTCTGATAAAGGAACAACTATTATAATGTGTGCTGTAACTAATTATTTACTATAAAGAAATAACTTTGACTGGCAAATTATAACCATAACGCTAAAAATTTAATACTCGTTGAGAAAGACAATTCTTATTACTGTTGCAACTTCATTGTAAGAAGATCGAGTAAGAAAGGGACATGGAAATTGCCAAATATACTTATGAACTGAAAACTCACGTTCTTTATGATCTAGCAATTCGGTGTAGAGCGATTGGTATTTGCTGGTACATTTATTTCGAAACCAGTCGATTTGGTTCCCTTTGTGATGATCGATTTGATCCGTCAGATTTTATAAACAGCGTAGCGTATTTCCCTCTCTCAGTCTCGCATTCTCAATTCGGTGTTACTCTTCTCTTACATCGCCTTCCCGATCTCTCTGATCAAGGTGCGGAAACAATATCCGCTCCCTGATTTCGTGATTCGTGACTTCTACAAAAACAAAATGCATTACCTTGACGAAAAACAATGAACGGCGACACCGTGCGACTCAAGCCCGCGCGTGAATTTCGCAATCCGCGCGCTTGCAGAAAGGAAAAGTGGCCGGCTCGTTTAAAGACTACATGCGACTGAGAACTCGTTCTCACCACGGAAAAATGTGGTCCTTCACACGCGTTCGCAGTCGTACGACGTACGATACTAGTCTTGTAATCCCGTCCGCTTCTTCGCTCCGGCGCGTTAATAAGAACCAATTTGCATTTGCAACAACGCGGCGATTAATCTCAACCGCAATTTTTAAAATGCATAACCTTTACACTGAGATACAAAATTATTAACAAACAAGAAATAGAAATACTGAAAAATTCAATCTAGATTATTATATACTATATACAGATACACATGCATGTATTTCATATTTGTAGTCATTCGAACTGCGTGCCGAATTGGTTTTTCGATCACTTATAAACGCAATTAAACTACTGTAGTAATATCACGAATTAAATTGACAAGCAATTTTAATAATTTGATACTCAATCAAAAAGTTGTTAACTTGACTAAATGCGTTTAGTGATTATTCCGTTAAAAGTGTTTATACATTTAAATTAAATATACGTGAAAAATGTTAACATGTTATTTAGTATAAACCGCGCGTCATTGTAGTGCTAAAATGTTACACGGACGTTGAGGTGGGGATCGTGATAACCTGAATATTTTTTAAATCTATTCTCTCAATGTCAACAATGGTTTTAGAAAGTCTTAACTCCAGCTACAGGTTAGTTAAAATCTACGAAATATGTAAGAAAATACAGATGTTTAAAAATGTCTCGGGTCATTATGACCCAGCTACAATGACGACGGATTAAATTCACATACATTTGCTTAAATTATAAACCGTGATACCGCGATATTTAGTTGAATAATTAATTTGTTTTTAAATTGCAACTTTTAGTATCAGTGCGGATGTGACGTTCGATATGTGTCGATAATGGCTAACAAAAAACTTGGAGGTCTCTAATTACTTGATGTGCAGATAACCTGCATCAAGCAGTACGTGTACTTTTTTAGATCGGAGATATATCTGCTTGATCCTTTATCGAGAACTAAAATGTGCCTTTTCTTTGCTTGGATATTATAACTGTAATCAATAGACTGCGGAACTTTATGCAAAATACTTAACTGAATATTAACTATCGGACAGTTTTAGCAGTCAATCGTTGTTCGTTAAAGAGTTATTAAAAGGTGAAGTAAAAAAATTGAGATTGCCATCTGTAAATTTACAAAATTGCAAAATATGCATTTTATGCAAAACATTTAGTTAAGTATTTTGTATAAAGTTCTGCAGTCTAGTAATCAATCACGAGCGCACAGATGATTTTTCTCCTTTCTTATATCCCGTAAAAGTATATTACCGAAGGGATGTGTGTGTGTATGTGTTATATACAAAGTCGTAGTAATGTGCATTAAAGCAATCAGATACTATAAGAGTTTGTATAATCACATCTGACGGTGTAGAGTGATTTTCTTGCAACTTACGGTCGCACTTTTTTCGCGAGTATAATATTAACGAATTCCTTGATTATGAGTTGTCTTAATGTTGTATAATAAGTGATCACTACTGTAAGAAATACTACCATTACTATCATTAGACTCGTTTGTCGTAAAATACTTTGATTCACAAAACATCTCGGAATGATTGCTTTCCGCGATCGACGATCTAACATTACTACCAATTTTCTGAATAATTATGTGTATTTTAAAATCATTTGTTCACACAATTATATGAATAATTTCTTTTATCGCGAGTCCGCAAGGTGCGTAACATAAAATTTGCAGACATGTTTAGACATACGATCATAAATCATTTTGAAAAATACCGTAATCAGCGTGGAATTTCCGTGACATCGTCATCGATGCCACAACTGCATTCTTTTTATGCCACACACATATGCTTGGCCGGAGATTTTCTTCTCCGTCATTCATGCCGAAGAGTTAACGTTTTATCGAACTTGCATCTTAATAAAATTCTTTGGTGTTTATTTTCAAATAATGACGAGAATTTTAATTGATATATGAAAGAAAAGAAATAACGGATTTGCGATTTAAAGTTCCGCGTACGACTTGTGATGCAATTCGAATCGTGGCG